GATTTCCGCCGGCGCACGATTCGAATCAGCGGAACGGCGCGTGAGTCGTTTCTACCTACATACAGGGTGAACGTGGTTCTGTACATACCATCTCCAACTGCTGATTCATCCTGCTTCTGCCTTCCACCTAGTGCGTGCCATAAACCAATCCACCTGATGCATATCACCCCAACCGTTCACTTCATACGGCGTTCACAAAGACCGGCAAGATGTAATCCGATGCGCGAATTCAAGCGGCAGGGTCTAAAAAACTGACATATCAAGCAGACACAGCTCGTTCTACTAAACGGCTTGTCCGATTGCCTTGAAATCTTCACCAATCCATTCAATGTAAATGAGTGAGTAATGGGTTGGCCATGTCAAGACCAAACCTGAGGTGGAGCACCTCGAGAACATGAAGGGATAACTTAGCATGTTAACCAGTCAACTCAACACCCCAAGCTACTGCACCAATCGCTGCGTAACTTTCACCATTGCATGTGCCGTACATCATTCCAGCTTTCACTTGACATTAAGTGACTCGAAAATTACGCAAAACTCGAATCCCACAAACAAAACATCATCCCACCATTTGTGTAATGGTGGGATGATGTTTCCTGACCAGACGTTTTTCCGGGAACGATTGTCCAAAGTCCAATCGCAACCACGAGGACGGATCAGCTGTCAGTCCAAAGGTGTCCAAAAATCAGATTGCCAAGTAAAATTCCATGTATAAAATACCGTTGCTCATTGCAACCCACAGCGGCACCTTCCAACCCACGGTACTGCACTTCCTCATCTTTGACAGCTTGTTAAAAGGAAAGCAGCAAGCACGTGGACAACTAAGGAGAATCACGTAATTAAGCAGCATTAATATATCGCAGATTTCACTGCCATTAGGGCAGCTTTCTAAAGCTGTCCACGTTCTACGCCTTTTAACTCCAAAGGCCTTGCATACAAATTTAGAGGCGATCGAGATGCCCCGCAATATCACATTGGAATGTTACGCAGCGCATAACTCGAAAATTACGAAAAATTCCACCCCAAAGGTCATGATTTTCGGAATCAGCGTGTTCAGAAGCCCCTGTACACCAAATTTGGGGGCAATCGAGACGCCCCGCAATATCACATTGGGATGTTACGCGGCGTATAACTCGCAAATTACGCAAAATTCCACCCCAAAGGCAGTGATTTTCGGAATCAGCGTGTCGAGAAGGCCCTGCACACCAAATTTAGGGGCAATCGACACGCCCGCAATATCACATTGGGATGTTACGCGGCGCATAGCTTGAAAATTACGCAAAATTCCACCCCAAAGGCAGTGCTTTTCGGAATCAGCGTGTTGAGAAGGCCCTGCACACCAAATTTGGAGGCAATCGAGACGCCCCGCAATACCACATTGGGATGTTACGCAGCGTGTAACTAAAAAATTACGCAAAATTCCACCCCAACGGCAGTGTTTTTCGGAATCAACGTGTCCAGAAGGCCCTGCACACCAAATTTGGGGGCAATCGAGACGCCCCGCAATATCACATTGGGATGTTACGCAGCGCAAAACTCGAAAATTACGCAAAATTCCATCCCAAAGGCAGTGATTTTCGGAATCAGCGTATTCAGAAGTCCCTGCACACCAAATTTGGAGGCAATCGGGACGCCCCGCAACACCACATTGTGATGTTACGCGGCGTATAACTCGAAAATTACGCAAAATTCCACCCCAAAGGCAGTGATTTTCGGAATCAGCGTGTTGAGAAGGCCCTGCACACCAAATTTGGGGGCAATCGAGACGCCCCGCAATATCACATTAGGATGTTACGCAGCGTGTAACTAAAAAATTACGCAAAATTCCACCCTATAGGCAGTGATTTTCGGAATCAGCGTGTTGAGAAGGCCCTGCACACCAAATTTGGGGGCAATCGAGACGCCCCGCAATATCACATTGGGATGTTACGCAGCGTGTAACTAAAAAATTACGCAAAATTCCACCCCAAAGGCAGTGATTTTCGGAATCAACGTGTTGAGAAGTCCCTGCGCACCAAATTTGGAGGCAATTGGGACGCCCCGCAATATCACATTGGGATGTTACGCAGCGCATAACTCGAAAATTACGCAGAATTCCACCCTAAAGGCAGTGATTTTCGGAATCAGCGTATTCAGAAGTCCCTGCGCACCAAATTTGGAGGCAATCGAGACGCCCCGCAATATCACATTGGGATGTTACGCACGTAACTAAAAATACGCAAAATTCCACCCTAAAGGCAGTGATTTTCGGAATCAGCGTGTCGAGAAGCCCCTGCACACCAAATTTGGGGGCAATCGAGACGCCCCGCAATATCACATTGGGATGTTACGCGGCGTATACTCGAAAATTACGCAAAATTCACCCCAAAGGCAGTGATTTTCGGAATCAGCGTGTGAAGGCCCTGCACACCAAATTTGGGGGCAATCGAGACGCCCCGCAATATCACATTGGGATGTTACGCGCGTATAACTAAAATACGCAAAATTCCACCCAAAAGGCAGTGTTTTCGGAATCAGCATGTCCGAGAAGGCCCTGCACACCAAATTTGGGGGCAATCGAGACGCCCCGCAATATCACATTGGGATGTTACGCGCGTATAACTAAAATTACGCAAAATTCCACCCCAAAGGCAGTGTTTTCGGAATCAGCGTGTTCAGAAGGCCCTGTACACCAAATTAGGGGGCAATCGAGACGCCCCGCAATATCACATTGGGATGTTACGCGTCGTATAACTCGAAAATTACGCAAATTCCACCCAAAGGCAGTGATTTTCGGAATCAGCGTGTCGAGAAGGCCCTGCACACCAAATTTGGGGTAATCGAGACGCCCCGCAATACCACACTGGGATGTTACGCGGTGTATAACTCGAAAATTAAGCAAAATTCCACCCCAAAGGCAGTGATTTTCGGAATCAGCGTGTCGAGAAAGCCCTGCACACCAAATTTGGGGGCAATCGAGACGCCCCGCAATATCACATTGGGATGTTACGCGGCGTATAACTCGAAAATTACGCAAAATTCCACCCAAAAGGCAGTGATTTTCGGAATCAGCATGTCGAGAAGGCCCTGCAAACCAAATTTGGGGGCAATCGAGGCGCCCCGCAATATCACATTGGGATGTTACGCGGCGTATAACTCGAAAATTACGCAAAGTTCCACCCCAAAGGCAGTGTTTTTCGGAATCAGCGTGTTCAGAAGCCCCTGTACACCAAATTAGGGGGCAATCGAGACGCCCCGCAATATCACATTGGGATGTTACGCGTCGTATAACTCGAAAATTACGCAATATTCCACCCAAAAGGCAGTGATTTTCGGAATCAGCGTGTCGAGAAGGCCCTGCACACCAAATTTGGGGGTAATCGAGACGCCCCGCAATACCACACTGGGATGTTACGTGGTGTATAACTCGAAAATTAAGCAAAATTCCACCCCAAAGGCAGTGATTTTCGGAATCAGCGTGTCGAGAAAGCCCTGCACACCAAATTTGGGGGCAATCGAGACGCCCCGCAATATCACATTGGGATGTTACGCGGCGTATAACTCGAAAATTACGCAAAATTCCACCCCAAAGGCAGTGATTTTCGGAATCAGCGTGTCGAGAAGGCCCTGCACACCAAATTTGGGGGGGGGGGGCAATCGAGACGCCCCGCAATATCACATTGGGATGTTGCGCGGCGTATAACTCGAAAATTACGCAAAATTCCACCCAAAAGGCAGTGATTTTCGGAATCAGCGTGTCGAGAAAGCCCCGCACACCAAATTTGGGGGCAATCGAGACGCCCCGCAAAATCACATTGGGATGTTACGCGGCGTATAACTCGAAAATTACGCAAAAGTCCACCCCAAAGGCAGTGATTTTCGGAATCAGCGTGTCGAGAAGGCCCTGCACACCAAATTTGGGGGCAATCGAGACGCCCCGCAATATCACATTGGGATGTTACGCAGCGTATAACTCGAAAATTACGCAAAATTCCACCCCAAAGATAGTGATTTTCGGAATCAGCGTGTCGAGAAGGCCCTGCACACCAAATTTGGGGGCAATCGAGATGCCCCGCAATATCCAACTGGCAGTTGGATATCAATCTGCTGCTGGCATGCCACGGCAGCAACTGTATTCAACGTTGCGTTTTTGCGGATGCTTTCTCTCCCTACAATGCTAGTTTTCGTTGAATCGACGCTACAGTCTCGCTTTCTGGAGATCACGAACAGATGTAACAGCTGGGTCACGTGTACAGACAGGGACAGGAATGAAGCACCACCCTGCGTATCACACACTTCAACTGACTAGCCTCGCGAAAAATCTACAGGTTTGTATACCTTGGAACAATCATTACCTCACCAGGGGAACTCGTATTTTTCTCTTCTGAAACCAGCTGAACATCTTTATTCCAACCCACCGCACTTTAAACCCAACAAATTTCGAGCATGTCAATTTTACAATTGTGATTTGCTTTCATTTCAAGCCTCGAGTACAAATGTCGCCAAAACTGCGATATATGCGGTACCCCACCTCTCATTAAGCCGTGTTAGGGCTGAACTGCAGCGTTTTCACAACTGCAAGAATAGAACTTAGCAAAAACCATACCATACCATTCCAGAATGTATGTCACAACTTCCTGCAAATTTAAGACCGATATAGTCCCAGCATCTACAGCGATGACCCTGCCATTCGGGATGAGTGGGCTCGGGAGCCCGGTCCAGTCAGCCCACGTTTGCGGTGCGCCGCGCATAAAAACACGGAATCAGCTCGAATTCGCCTTAACCCTTGCTCATGCATGACAGTACTTGCCATGAGCACGTGCAACGTGTAAGCACGCTCTCCTACGATGACGGTCATGGTTTATGGGCGCACCGACGTCGTAGGTCATTTTGCGCCCTGCACGCTTTCCCTGATGCTGGCGAATAACGTCGCCAGGTGGGGAGCACATGTGCAGGCCCAGTTTCGACTCTCGACCTCAGTTCGCTCCGAGCACCACCAGGTGCCAATTAAACAAGCTGGCGAGGCAGTCCATCTAGTGTATTCATTCGGTCGCAACGACGGTCGTCTTCTCCGACACGTACACGCCGTCCAAGAACTTCCGGATGTCCTTGTTGTGCACGGAAGTCGACTGCTGGATGCGAGCGGCTGCGGCAAACGGAAGCAAGGCGTAAGTCACAGCACCCCAGGTGATGCTGTATCCATGCCTCTTTACATCCAGGTGGGACACAATGATGGACCATACAGGTTGAAAAGGTACTCTGAATCTGGCAGCATGGCACATGGCACACAAGAGGCTGACGTCCTCTACGCTGAATCTCTCTGAGCAAGCAAGGAAGTAATATCAGGGATGATCAGAGTCCAGATATGAGGCATCCAGCTAGGGTGTTTTTTCTGTTATCACATGTTTTAGACAGTTTCAGTATTTGTTATCATTAAGCTGACTAAAAGAAGAAAGGAAATGCTAATGTTGCCAATCCACGTGTTTTCCCTACAGGGGTCCCGGCCATGAAACGGTTGCGGGAACGATTCACCAAGAGGTCGCATGCCTCTGCAAAAATGAGATCTGAATCGTCTTCATTGGGGCTTTACGACGCACTCAGCTGCTGAGACTATACATGGCGTCTCTCGGCTCTCACCCCGACAATGTGCCCCCACATTTCCTCCACACATCCCCCCCCCCGAAGCTCCCATTCCTTTCCAGTATGGAATCTCGGGGAATCGGACCCCGGTACCTCTGATTTGCCAGACGCGCAACGTAACCAGTCATACTCCACTTGAAACGACACAGCATCCTTCAGGCGTGCACAACTACTGATACACATCCGCAACACAGGCGTGATAGTCTCGCCAAAAACTATATGACCCATTCCCAGCTCCGCAGCTGAGGCCGGACCGTATGCCATTGTCACCGATGCCGTGACGCAGTGACGCCAACCACAGCCGACCCGTAACTGGTGACAAGCGTCCAGCATATGAGCAGCATTCTGAACCCACCCACCAACGAGCCCAACACAGGTCAAACTCACCGCACTTGGAGACGGCCTCGATGTTGTTGCCCTCCAGCACCAGCTCGTCCTTAACCTTGGCCGAGTTGTAGACTGTCACACCGGGCAGCATCTGCACGCGGCGGATGTACTTCTCGCCCAGGTAGTTACGCACCTCCACCAGCGTGTTGTTCTCCGTCACCACACAGTTGATGGGGAAATGGGCGTACGCGGAACGCATCTTGTACTGGAAGCCCTGGAGCACAACATGCATGTGTTTAGAACGATCGTCCGTGCGATAAAAAAACATGACGGCCACTAAAAGTGGACCAAAAATGGCATGTGTAAGTTCAATAGAAGATCAATGATACAAAGTGTGATGGTGGTGATTTGAGCTTTGATGATACAAAGTGTGATGGCTAACAGTGTTCCAATGGTTAACAGATGGCACACACCGGCATACCTATTACAGGGAGCATTCCACATTTATATGCAGGCTTGAATAAGTAGCGATCTTCAAGACCTCTCGGCGATGTTCACAATCCTGCCTTTCTGGTAACCTTAGCCCCCCCCCCCCCTATTTTGAGTTACATGCAAGCAAAAATGGGGAAAAGTATATCAGGGAGAGTATTTCATTGTTACCTCAGCATTCATGATGTCATCATAATGGAATTCAAATCCTGCCATTCCATAAGCAAAATGCAACCACGGTAAAAAGTGTAATTGTTGAGGCCTTCATGTCTGGCATTCGTGAGCTCGATTCCCAGATATAACGGCCGCCAGTTGACTCTCAGTCAATGTTATCAAAGGTATAATGATGCAATCAAACTATGACACAATGAAGAGCATATTTGCTCAACAGAGAATTGTGGTCTACAGCAAAGTGTGTGTCATTGGGACTTTACAACGCACCCAGCTGCTGAGGCTATATGGCGTCACCTGCCTCTCACCCTGGCAGGAAGGGCGGGCACCGCGGGGAATCGAAACCCATACCTCTGGTTTCCCAGATGCGTAGCGGTTAACGCAGATGCCTTAACCACTACACTACTGGCACCCCATCCTACAGCAGTCCTTCCTACTTAAAAGCATACAAATAGTTATAAAGGAGCTTGTTTCATCATATCTGATGCTGGCTTCAATATTTTCAACTGCAAAGTATTCCCCCCAACTTACAAGTTTACCTGATTACACAAGTGACTAGGAGCTGAATGTATTTGAACAATGTGCCTTGCAATCAAGGTACCCACCACAGATATCCCACAAACTGACCATCATGTAACCCATTTGACTTTCCACCACAAAAATCAGCAAATTCTGGCAGTGAGAATATTATGGATCCATAAAAATGCATTTGGTTAGAACATTCAACAATGTGCCTGAAGTTCAATGCAGGCTTAACTGGAGCAGCTGTCATAAAAACAGCAATGGAATGACAAAACTAAGCAGACTTCAATAATGACACTGTGACATTGCTAACCCAGAAAATGCAGTTCTGGTGGCGAAAAATGCAATCCATCCATGAATGGGAGAATACCATTATGAATTCCAAGTTCAGAGGCCTAGACATATGGTTGCCCCCATCCATAGCTTCCCACCAAAAATATAAATTTAGACATGGTGCCTAATATTCCCCACCTACTCCCCTGGGATATTTGCAATGTCATCTGACAACCACCACCCCTAATAAAGGCCTCAAATAGGCATGCATGGTCTGCTTTTTCAGATGCCTGGTTATTTGGACTTCATTTGCTGCCACACACAAGAATTTATAACACCTGCAACTCTATATTTCATAACCTGTAGTCAAAATGAGGATAACACCCATATTGCAGTAGCATTGCAAAAAGTGATAAAATACTACACACCACATGTAACAGCAGAAAGATACCATTTTGAGTGTTAACATCAAAAGTGACAGACATTCACATAAAACCCTCTTTAGATAGGCCTTGATTACTTTAACATGGCAGTGCTGGTGTGCATCCCTACTGTGGATTGTGGTGCTCTTTAATATGGTATGCTGACAGAATTAAGCTAGTCATTCTCGCTCTGAATAATGCATCATCTCAATATGGGAGAACATGCCATCACCTGAATGTGCCCACTGTGGTGAATCACTTTGAAATGTGGTAGGCTTTCAGTTTTTTCAGTTGCACTTATCAGACCTCATTCAGACACCAGCATGGCTGTTTTATGCCTTCACATTCTCAGTGGATCACCAAATACCACCTGTAATGAAGCCAATCAGAGCTAAATGGACACAATGCCAGTGATGAAGGGCTGGAAACTATGCCTAACATGGCAACAAACCTTGAATTGCAAGTGGCCTGACCATCTGTATGCCAGGACACATGGTGCAGGGGAAGCTCACTTTGACCATGCCACTAAGGTGCGTGCTGAGTCTCTTTGTAATGTAAGCCAAGTGACCAGTCAAAGCATACCTTTGACTAAATTGGTCACAATAATATTGTAACACAGCTGCCCATAAGTATTGTAGACTATAGTAGTGGGATCATGGAGCTTACTTACAGTAATACTGATTTTAGCCAATAGACTATGCAACATATAAAACATAAGTGACTGGAAAATATGCAGTGCTAAAAGCACACCACAGCCACACAGCGATCCACTTACAAAGATGACTCCCTTGCACATGTTGCTAATATGAGAGCAGCAGGTACGGACGGCAGCCAGCTCCTTCCGCTTGCCAAACCACTTCTCAATCTTGATGACATTCTTTCCCACCATCTGCAATCAGAAATGTGCTATAGTTGTCATCCTTGGGGCTTTTTACAACACACTCAGCTGCTGAGGCTATATGGCATCACCCGCCCTCTCACCCTGGCAGGAAGGGTGGTCACCATGGGGAATCAAACCATGAATCTCAGGTTTCCCAGACATGCAGCAGTTGATGCAGATGCATCAACCACTACACTACTAGCACTCCAAAATGGGCTATAGTGAAGCTAGGCTTAACTACAAGCCAGCATTGACCAGCAAGGCTAGCCTTGAGCTAGCCCTGATAGAAACATGATTACTGGGACAGGCTGGCCTGCTGGAGCTGATGACACCTATGTAATACCACAGGGTGAACAACTGAAACATGACTGATGCAAAACCAACATGCAGTCCATCATGGTAGACATCTTGTAAATTTGTGAAACAGTTCTAGAGACAGGTAGGCCATTTCCATATTGACAAAATCACCACTTTGTCTCTGTAAGTTACATGCATGGACATGCTTGATGTAAGAAACAAGCAGTTAATACCATACTTATCAAATAGTTAATCTGCCTGGCTTGTAACCAAGTTGTAAACTGAACAGCTATGACATTTTCTTTAACTGGTCAGAAACACAGGAATGGCAATTATCAGACAAATAATGCATTCACAATAAAGGCATATGAGGATGGACCAATATATTCTTGACTGGCTAAACACACCAGGTGACAGTCAACAGCACAAGATTGGACCAGCTTACAATGGCATGGTGGCAGGGCTGGGTCCCACCCACCTGATCTCTAACAAGGACCTCTGAAATGTGTGCATTATCAAATCAAGAGCTTTGTTGATTACATATAGCTGTAAGCATGCATCACAGGGATGGAAGACTATGACCAGATATCAGCAGACCTGGCTGCTCTGGCAAAGTAGTTGTAATTGCTGGCTTGTCCCTTTCAATGAAAGGAAGTGCAGGGTACTTCATTCATGTTATATCAATTCAAGGCTCCAGTGCATCTTGCAGTTAGACCTATCATGCCAGTGGCCATGGAAGAAGACATGGTCTTCTTCATTTACAAACACCAGAGGTTCAGAAAGCAAGGTGCAGTTCCCATCAGCAAAGCAAGCTAAAATCCCAGCTATTATCAGACATTCCTTTGGGCACTCAGACTAATATAACCTGAATCAAATATTTAGGATGCAGGTTTTATGTCTCCTACAACAAGGAACACAGTCTGATAGCCTTTTGGCATGTAAGACCTGAATCTAACAGAGTGCAGATCTTGCCACCTGCCTGATACAGGGTAGCCACCATATTATCATAAAACAACATTCAATTACAGTAGCTAGGCCCAGTTCACACACAAGAGTGCTAAACAAGCTCTAAAGCATCCCCTGATAATTGATAAAGCTAGTGTCTAATAACTAACAGAGTACTAAGCAAGCCTGAACAGGACCAACCAAATAATGGACCTCAACATGCTTATCACTCCCAGGGGCTATGTTAGGTTGACTGGATAAAAGCTCAGAAGAGTTAAAGCAAGAGCAAGGCTGTGCCACTATAAATGTAACATTAGGTGGGAAAATATACATCACAAAACAAAAGCAGCTTGCAAAGTTTAACACCATGACAAACTGCATGTTATAATCTTGGCAGTGCATTATCTACCGCAGAATGATATTTCTTTGCTGAGCAATATGAACAGCATGAATCAAATGAGTGTACCATGCTTTTATTTGCACCTTGTGGTGAATGAAGGATGGAAGAAAATGAACAATTAAATCATGGCCACCACTTGCAGCATCAGCATACCATGGAATGGTTTGCACTAATGTCATTTCCTCATACCAACTGCACCATATACATACCAGCCTACATGCACAGGCACAACAAATACCTGAATGTCCAAGGTGAGATGCTTGAAATTTCTTGTCAAGGTGCCACGAGGGCCCTTGATGATGACAGTCCGCCCCTTCACTCGGGCGGTGCATTCCTTCGGTATCTTGACCGTCTCCGATTGCAAAATCTGCCTCATCTGGGGAAATTACATTTCGTTATTGCAACGCCATGTTTGCCTCACCCTAGCAAAAAACCGAAATACAGACACATTTACACACCCCAGGACTGTCGCAGGTTGCCACATAGCGTGTCATTTCATAAGGTCAATTTTGAAAAGGAAAGAAGGCAGAACAAAACTTGACATGATTCAAATCGCCACCACTCTATAACTTACCGTCTCGACTTGTTGTTCTGTAAGCCGGAAAGGTCTTTTGCGCGGCGCTGCCGCTGTACCATATATTTGCGGACATGAAAAACAGTAGCTTGGAGGCCAAAAGATATTTCAGTTTTATCCTTTCAGATGAGCATAATTTTCAAATAATTTGAAAAGCATTATTCAATATCATCAACGTTGATCAAAGAGAATGAGTTATCATGGCCATATGTCAACTCCTCACCAAGTACATTGTTGTCGGCTCAAAAGTGAGTTCGTAAGTCAGAAAATTTGTTCTGTATTAGCTGAAGTGCATCATGCAAATTTTCATTTGTTTTCTGTATTTCCTCGAAAATATAATATTTTTGGTGCATAGCATGATCTTTAGTAAACTGTTTTTGTATAGGTTACGCCTTTAAAGCGTCGTAAATGTCAGCAAACCAAAATTGTTTACATTCAGGCCTGCACGTACCGCGGAGGCGCGTCGATAGCGCCGCTTGCCTCTGAAGTTTCGTGGCGGGGGCGTGTTGCGGCCCGCACGTTCGTATTCGTTAACTAAGGGGACTGTTCACGGAAGGGTTTAGCGGTACCAAGTATTTGAATGCATTGAAAGGGGCTGTAAATTATTTCAAAAACCATGCTATTTATGCCTGGTCCATAAATCCTGCCTAGCGTTATGGCTTTGCTACTTTGCTACTACTCACTTGCGGATGTACGTTTCATGCGTAATTTCTGGCTGCTTTAAGCACTTGAGTGACCAGACAAAAAAAACAAATCAGCCAGAAAAATATTTTATTAAAAAATAGATCATGGCATTTAGGGCCTTTGATTTAGTACCAGTGATAACTAGCATAGTACATGATGTGGGAGATCCTTCGCTCAAGGTAAGTATCATGCTTGGAGCTTTGCAATGTTATCAGAGCATCATTGATAGTTTTCACCAACGAGACCTGCAGGTCTTTTTTGGAAATATAGAAAACTTGATTAATACATTTTAAGGATACCATGTACATTGGGAAGTGAAAGTGAACAATAACAAGCAGCAGATGTGTTGTAAAAGTTTAATGTCTTAATTTATCTGTAGGTACCATATGAAGATGTCTGAAGTGCTACATTGGTGCCCCATCCCAACCTCCAAACCCAATTTTGTTTGAAACATGGCATGTAAACAATGTGAGCAATGGTTATGAAATGCTGAATCATGCTATGTTATGAATAAGTTGGGGACATCACCTTACCTTACCTTACCTTACCTTACCTTACCTTACCTTACCTTATGGTGATCGGGAATTGTAAAAGGCCACTAGGCCTGTAGGTCCCGGTCTCGTCAGGCTCCCGGTCCGGTCACCAAACAGTCTCAAATTATGGGAATATTCAGTGTGGGACGTCGTACATGATGTCAGCCCAGTGCGTATCAAGCCTAGCCTTGAACTGTTCAACTGAGGTCGACGACACGACCGGGTGCGGAAGAGCGTTCCAGTCGTTGACAACCCGCGTGCTGAACGAGTTGCGACGGACGAGAGTCCTAGCTCGAGGTTTTCTGAGCTTCCATTGGTGTCCTCTCGTCACCTCCGAGTTGTGCCTTGTCAGGAACTCCTCTTCCGATAGCGACATGCCTCCATGAAATAGCTGGTACACCGTTACCATGTCTCCCCTGCGACGACGATAGTACAGTGAGGGCAGCTGAAGGAGTCTGAGCCTCTCAGGGTATGGCTGGCACCTCACTTCATAGACAAGCCGGGTAGCTCGTCGCTGAACTCGTTCCAGCCGTTTTTGGTCCAGTTTGCCGAACGGGCCCCAGATAACGTTGCCATACTCTAAGTACGGACGTACTAAGATCTTAAAAAGCAATGGCAAGGTGCGAGCATCGATGTTGGCAAAAGACCGCCTCACGACCGCCAGCATCTGGTTGGCCTTGGAGATCGCTTCCGCGGTCTGCACGTGGAACTGGAGCCGGTAATCCACGAAGATCCCGAGGTCCTTTTCGGTGGACTCGACCGCGATTTCGGCACCGTCCAAGAAGTACGTCAGCCTCGGGTTGCAGTTCCCAATGTGCATTATTTTGCACTTTGCTGCACTAAAGGGGAGCAGCCACTCCTTTGACCACTTGGCCAGGGCGTCGAGGTCAGCCTGCAGAGGTGAGTGAGTCAGGGGTCTCGGGACACGACAGTAGACCTTGGTGTCATCCGCAAACATCTTGACCACGCTTCGCACTTGCTCTGGTAGATCGTTCACGAAAATAATAAACAGCGTTGGTCCAAGTACTGACCCTTGCGGGATGCCGCTGACAACGTCGGTCCAGTCCGACTTCGAGCCCTGGACCCGCACTCTCTGCATCCGATGAGTAAGAAAAGCCCTGATCCAGCGTAGCAAATTACCTCTCACACCATAAGCATGAAGCTTGGAGAGCAGACGGTTATGGGGAACAGAATCAAAGGCTTTGCTGAAGTCCAAATACGCCACGTCCACCGGTTCTCCATCCTCTACCGCGGCGCTCCAATCCTCCATAACCTCTAACAGCTGGGTGGTACAGGACCGCTTAGGGAGAAACCCATGCTGGGCCGCATGAAGAAGTCCAGACTCTGAGAAGTGATTAAGTAGGGCATCACGGACGAAAGTTTCGAGTATCTTGGAGGGAATAGCAGTAAGGCTCACTGGGCGGTAGCTCGCCGGAGATTGTCGGTTACCCTTCTTGAAAATCGGGACCACCTCGCCAAGTTTCCACTCCGGAGGGAGCCTTCCGGGTGCCAAAGATTTTCGGTAAAGCATGCTGAGGGGTGCTGCCAGGGCATCTGCATCACTTCTAAAAAATAAGGTTTCCATGTAATTGTATGTTCTCCATGAACATGTGTCAGTGGGGTTTTGCCAGAACTCTGACTTCAAATTTTTCAGACATTACATCTGGCATAGTGGTTGCATTACAGCAACAGTTTCAGCTCATACAGACTATAATCCCCAGCATTTCAGGAGTCTGGCACACTGTTGCCACTCACTGCCATGCCAATGAGATGCCAATGTTTCAATGAATTATTATTTTGGAAAGGTCATTTTGGGCAAAAAGATAAGATTTCCAAAACCTTTTTCCTAAACAAGTATTTTGAAGTCATTATTTTTGCCTAGCCTGGGATCACAACATTTGTGCACTAGGTTCACCCCTTATGTCATATTGGCATCCCATGCAGTAGGTGGGATAGATTTTTTGTAGCCTGAGCTTGTCCATCCAAGCCAAGGCCAGCCAAGCCCAGCTTGCCATAGCTGTGTTTAACCTATGTCAGGTGTAGGTTGAAGATGGTTTGATGTATAGCAAATTTATTCACCGCATTTGTTGTAAGCCAACAGATAGTTTTCCATGCCAGGATGCAAAAGTATGCAAAAATGTGACAACCCTGTGACCTAATTGTTCAAATATTATCACACCGTTGCCCTCATCCTATGAGATGACCAGCAGCTGTCGTCCTCCCTCCCCCCCCCCCCCCCTCTTGAAAGTGCCATCCTGACTGACCCACCTTCATACCCATGCCTTGCCCACCATCCTGATGACATGGCAAATGTTTGTAAGTCATTCTGTGCCAAATAAACACTGGGTGGCAGCTGGAGATCAAGCTCAGGGGTGGCTTGGCTTGTTCCAACTCGCTGCCTGTGGGGTGAGCAGGCCAGGTAGCTAACAGCTGTATGGTTGGGTAGGGATCCACAATTGTTTCGTTGGATTTGTGATGGTGACGTGGTGGTGGCTGATTGGTGCATTGTTTGTTTTCAGCTGCTTGCAATATTGATATTTGTCACAGCTTATGGAATTGTGTCTCAAGCAACAGTATCAAGCAGTGTGGTGTAGCTGTCAATTCGGGTCTAGTAGTGTGCATTGTCATGAGCAATGGAAACAAGCATTGCTGGCCACTTCATTGTTTATGCTTCATTAGTTGATTCAAACTTCAGCAACTCGACTTCCCTGCCCACAGCTGATGGATCGCGGGTGGTGGCTGGCCACCAGGTGTCTTTTTTTGTGCCAACTTCGCTTTTTCGGCAGTATTTAAAAATCGCGTGCAGCGTGGAGCGGACTGCCATGGGCGTAATGCAAGCCCAGTAGTGTCATGAAGTGAAGAAGTGTCATGCGCCACAAAGCCTCAGGAAGGTGCCACCTGGCGGCAGATATCGGCGGTGGAGGCGGGCGGCGTCGATCTGTACCTGGGCACCACGTCCGGCCTGGTGTTGCGTTACCAGTACCAGGTGGACAAGCACGACCGCACCGTGCCTCCCTCCAGCGCGCTACTCACCTTCAAGGTCTTCGGCACGGTCAGTGCCGGCCACAGGAGTGATCTCTGCCTCCGGTCTGCCAGGCGCTGGGCTGCAGAGAGACGGCGGCCGACGGCATGTCGGCGACCTGGCTGCTTTCATCAGAAAACACGACGCTCAGTCAGGGCGTCGTTGGGCGGACCTTGTTGACGTTTAGTCGCTGCTGCTTTACCGGTTGTCAGTGTTGGTATGTGATAAGATGGCGCTGAAACTTTATTCATTTTACTATATTATATTTCAATGTTATGCGCTGTTGTCCCGGCGGCCGGCTTGCTTTCATATTTGCGGGTAGCTGTTTATTAAACCCCGTTGCCAGTCAAAAACTAAGGTTGATGGAATTGCCAAATCACGCGTAGAATATTTTACTGCATGGATGCATTGCAGTGGTGATTTCGATGGCATTACGATTTCGTGCGTAACACTGACCTACACCAGTTTCACCACTGATTGCCGCGGCGCATCAAATCATTATCACTGGTGAGTGTTGTATTTGAACAGGTTGATGTCCACCTTCCCCTGCAGCTGTCTCTTGGACATTGGCGTCCCTGTCCCTGTGATGCCGGTTGGGCCCTGGTAGGCCTCGTCCACGTAGTGCGTTAACACTCATCAGTGTATCCGTCATGCGGAAGCGGAACACGGCTCCTTATCGCCCTGTCCCACAACACCCTTTGACCCGCCCACGGCCCGTGGTGCCGCGGTTAGCCCGCCTCGTGACGGCCACCTGCCGGCGCTGGCGCCCGTGATCCCGGCCGTCGCTCTCGGGGAGGCGCCAGTGACCCCGGCCGTCCCCCTCTGGCAGGTC